ATGCAACTGTCTCTCCAGGAATGGGACCGGGACCGATCTGTGTTCGGCTCTGTCAAACAAGAGTTGAGAAACTTGCGTCAGGAGCTAGAGGATGAGCGGCGACACGCTCTATTCACTAGGCCGTCCAGACGGGAGAGGCAGCTTATGGCCAGGATTTCTAAGCTATTGGCCATGGAAGAGATCATGGAGAAGCAGCGATCGCGGATCGCTTGGTTGAAGGATGGCGACCGAAATACAAAATTGTTTCAGGCGAAAGCGAAAGAGCGTGTAAAAACCAACCAGATTACTGCATTGCATGCACCCAATGGCGAGTTAGTGACCGGACAGGAGGATCTGGAAGTTTTAGCAACTGATTTTTACAAAGACTCATTCACAGCCCAACATGACTCAGACCCGGATCAGGTCTTGACTCATGTACCTGTGCGTGTGACGAGCATGATGAATGAGATACTTGAGAGCCCATATACGGCAGCGGAGGTGGAACGCGCCCTGTCCATGATGGGCGCTAGCAAAGCTCCCGGGACGGATGGTTTTACAGCCGGGTTTTACCAGACACATTGGGAGACCGTTGGCCCAAGCGTCACCAATGCTGTATTGGATTTTTTGAATGGAGGGCTGCTACCAGATGAGCTGAACCGAACGACACTTGTTTTGATTTCAAAGGTAAAACACCCGCAAGACCTCAAGAATTTTAGGCCGATCTCCTTATGCAATGTCATCTACAAGCTATTCTCTAAGGTGCTTGCTAATCGGCTGCGGGGTTTCCTGGATGAAATTATTTCTCCTGAGTAGAGCGCCTTTGTCCCTGGACGTCTGATCACGGACAATGTCCTTGTGGCATATGAGTGCACTCACTATCTCAAAAGGAAGAAAGGCAAAACCAGGGCGTGTGCAATCAAGCTAGATATGGCGAAAGCATACGACTGGGTGGAATAGAGTTACCTACATGGAATTATGACTAAATTGGGTTTTGCGGAAAGGTTTGTGGATACAGTTATGAGGTGTGTCACCTCGGTGTCCTTCTCGGTGCGAATGAATGGACAACTATCAAATCCATTCAGACCATCTAGGGGCATCCGGCAAGGTGATCCATATCCCCCTACCTTTTCTTGCTATGCTCGGAAGGATTGTCGTGTCTTCTACGATCAATAGGGCCGGTGCACCTCTCAAGAGGTGTGCAAGTTGGGATTCATGCCCCGTGGATTTCACACCTCCTTTTCACCGATGACTGTATTATTTTTTCAGAAGCCTCGAGGAGGGGAGCTGATCGGCTACAAGGAATATTGGGAATTTACAGTAGAGGTTCTGAGCAGTTGGTAAACAAAGACAAGTCTGCAATTTTCTTTAGTGCCAACTGTGCGGAGGATGCTAAACAAGAGGTGAGGTCCGTGCTTCAGATTAATACAGAGGCTTTAGCAGAGAAGTATTTGGGTCTACCTACTGCTTTGGGTTGGGCAAATGGTGCCTTTGAATACATGCCAAACAGAGTAAGAGGACTGGTGGGCGCCTGAAGTGGCCGTGAAGCTAGCTGTGCCGGCCGGGAGGTCTTGGTGAAGTCTGTTGCTCAGGTTGTGCCCACTTACCCGATGAGTTGTTTCTTGCTCCCAAAGGATACCTGTCGAAAGATGAAGACTGTGATCTTGAACTATTGGTGGGGAAGTTCAGCTGACAGTAGACGCATTCACTGGCAGCGATGGGAACTGTTGACAAGACCTAAGCCGATGGGAGGCATGGGATTCAGGGATCTGAGATTTTTCAACCTTGCTATGATAGGGAAGCAAGGGTGGCGTTTGATCGAGAACCCCAATTCACTATGTGCACGAGTTCTAAAGGGACGCTACTACCACGACTCTGAATTTCTGTCAGCTACTAGGAAGAAACATGCTAGCCAAACTTGGCGAGCAATCCTAGCTGGTAGAGAGGTTTTGTATAAAGGCTTCATTCGAAGGATTGGTGACGGCAGTACAACACGAATATGGTAAGATCGGTGAATCCCAGACCACTTTGAGGGGAGACCGATTGTTGCCCCTGAGAACCCACAGGTGCAAGTCGTGGCTGATCTCATGACACCGAGCGGGGCTTGGAATGTGGAATTGATCAAACAAAGCTTTGCCGCGGTCGATGCCCACGCTATTTTGAGTACACCAGCAAAGGGCACCGGGCCAGACGGATGGGCCTATGAACCGGAAAGACATGATCTATACACGGTTCGATCGGCATATCGACGCCTCTTTGATGATCATTGTCAACAGAGGGAGATGGACCAGGCATCAGTTTCGGGTGACCCGACATGGATGAGGATCTGGAGACTCTGTGTGCCTCCTAAGGTTCGTGTCTTTTGGTGGCGGGTGGTGAATGGATATCTACCTACAAGAGGAGTTCTTCATCACCGGCACATTGAACCGACGACAAACTGTGAGGTACGTGGAGCGGAGGTTGAGTCCATCAAGCATGTTTTGCTTGACTGTATGGTGGCAAAAGCCTTCTGGGTGCAAGTGAGAACGATGACTGGAGTCAAGGTGCCATAGCTACACCCCGTCACTTGGGCAAGAGACCTAGTTGATCCCGATGTGTTCCTAGCAAACAGCGCAGCAGTTGTCTTATGCGGGATGTGGTCTCTGTGGATGTCCAGGAACAAAAAGTGACATGGTGAAAGAGATGTGCGGTGAAGGTTGCAGTTCAGTGGGCTATTGATACTGCTTTTGATTTGTGGCAGATACTCCATCCGGCCAAGCCTGTTGCAGCCATGGCAAACACTCAGCGTTCCTGGCAAAAGCCGCCTCCGGGATGGCTTAAATGTAATGTGGATGCATCCTTCCACGCCGGGAACCGGAACATGGCCTCTGGTGTGGTACTCCGTGATGAAAATGGAAGAATGTGTGGAGGGAAGGCAGACTGGTATGATCATTGCCTGAACGCGCTCATGGTGGAAGCGATGGCATGCAGGGATGGCCTGACATTTGCGCAGACGCGGGCGTGCGGAAGCTGCAGGTAGAGACGGACTGCCAAGTTCCCGTCAATCTATGAACGAATCGCACAAGCCAAAAATCTGAGATTAATTCCATTTTGCAACAGATGGAAGATCTCAGCCGGAGCTTCGAAGCTTTTGATTTGGTTTTCATTAATCGGAAATGTAATAAATTAGCTCATGAGTGTGCTCGTCTAGTTTCTCGTGATAACCCGGTGGAGGAGTGGCTTATAACCCCACCCGGCCTTAGGGATATCTCAGACGATGATTGTAATCTTGTTCACGACTAATATATAAAGCTCCGGTTTCCCCTAAAAAAAAAGACTGCCAAAGGTGTTTGCTGAAGCTTAAACTGAAACTCGAGTTCACATATACGGGGCTGGGACATCACTTGTTAGTTGCCCCGTCCTTGGTTAGAAAACATAAAACTAAAGATGCCAAGTACTTACTTATATAAAAAAGGCAAGTCCTGGTACAGATTACGGAGTATTCCACTCTGTCCTACTAAAATACAAAGGGGTCAAAGTTTATTCTAAGAGCCTGTTTAGCAGGGCTTTCAGTGGCTCTGGCTCCACCTAAACCAGCTATTGCAGTGGGAGCTATTTCAACCTTTTAAGTTTGACTAAGTTTATAGATAAATATATTATTATTTACCACATTAAATATAACATGATCATGATTAGGATTATCTCGCTTAGCGCAACCCAAAATCAGGAGTACTCCCTCCGTACTAGTAATTCAAGTCGTTTTAAACAACGACACGGTCTTATAAGTTATTCATGATTTATAATTCTAATGTTTGAGTCCAGACTTATCAAAACGACTTAGAATTACGATAGGGAGGGAGTACCATGTAAGCCGTGATTTGCGTGCACGTGTTGCTTAAAAAATAGTGCAAAAACAGCATGCCGATTGGAGCGTGCCAGGTCTCAGGCGTTTGCTTTTCAGGCAATGGCCCGGGAAGACACAGCGATGCTGCACGAGAGTCAGACGTGGTCTGTCAACTACTGTACGCCTTTCTTTTCCATTTCCAATTCCAACGAGTTTGGGATTGCTGGAGTGGGAGCAGTACCTAACGCTAGCCAGATCTACCAAAACACCATTAATTGCTTCATCAGGCGATAAAGAAATCACATGATGGAAACTTGGAAAGAGACGATCCAGCAGCACCGGCTGGAAATGCAAAAGGCTCGCCGTCCCGATCGGATGTGCCATGTGGTACCGAGCGAACTGTTTGCCTGTTCATCCATCTTATTCTGATCACCTTTTCTGGTATGATATCCTATATATATATATATATGAGCCCTGTACGCTGCCAACTAAATTGCATCCACCTTATATTATCACGAGTATACGACTCGTGCATATATAATAAATTAAGCGTCAACCTATTGTAGCTATTCTCTAACCACCGTGAGTCTCTAACCACCGTGACAACGAAATTGCCTAGGGCTTCGTCAGGGTGCGGCCAATCCTTTGCGGCGCTCCACCGAGCGACCCAATTTGTAGTTCCGATCTCGCTCTCGCAGTCTCGATCTTCAGCTTTCTCTGAGGTCAGAAACGAGGAGCACCCATAGCTGACGCCGGCCGCGATATCGTAACTCGCAACATGAATTTGTTTGATTCAGATTGAAACTCACCACAGCAGTCGGCCACCAATCGAAGTCATTTGAATTCTTTTTGTGAGCGATTGCATGCGTGTTTACGATGTGCGATGCGTTCTTATACGTCGAGACGAGTCGGAGTCGAGACAGGTACGAAGCGGCCTCCGTTGCCAGATCTGGTGTCCGTGTCCCCTTCTGCTGTTGGGATCTGATCTGATCTGATCTGACGCCATCCGCCAGCGCCACCAGCCCGTAACATTTGGCTGGCTGGCTGTCACGGTGTACTACTCACAGGGACGCCGCCGGCCCGGCCCGGCCTGGCAGGCGCAGCGCAAAATCCCCGGTCCCCACTTCTCCCAGCGAAGCAGAGCCGCAAGGAGGACGGCGTCCAGGTATGCTGCGGGCCCGCGCGGCAGCCACCGACAATAATGGCGGCACTCCACATCGGAGTCCACTCCCCACCGTCCCGGCGTCCCGACCACCACCGCATCCGCATCGCCAGTCGCCACGCGACAGCGACGCCCCGCATCCCCGCGGCGCGGAAGCCGACGGTTGGGCCTGCCGCCTGCGCCTCTGGGCCTCTGGCTTCTGGGGGCGGCGCGGGCCCCAGACGTCAGAGCTACACGCTCGCACACTTTAGAAGAGTTATTGTTCGGCGCCCGCCGCCTCGCCTCGCCCGTCCTCGGTGCGTCAGCGTCCCCGTCATTGTATCTGCCGCTGTGTGCCTGCGCCGGCCAGCCCGCTTGCTTTGCCCTCGCTTCGCTTCAAATGATAGAGCCGGAGCCGGTGCAGGCTGAGCGACCGCGAGCTTGACCCGGGCGCACGCGGCACGTCGGCTCGCACCAGCCATGTCGGCGCCTGGATTCGATGACCCCAAGCTTCCGCCGCTGCGGCTGCGCGCCTCGTACGGCGGCGGGGCGCGATCGCCAGCCCACGCTCCAGCTCCTCCTCTGACACCTTCGTCAGCATGCGTTCCACGCCCTCAGGTACCGCGTGCTTGCTTGCGACAGTGTTCCCCCCCCAATGCGTACATGCCTGCCTCATTGACACCGCCCCCCAATCTCGACACCTCGCGTGGTTGCTTGGCTGCTTGCTCTAAGTTTGTTTACTTCTGATCCTAATTTTGGTTGGTCATGCTTGTCTCGGCTGCTCACCTCCCCGTGGGGATCAGGTACGCTGAATCCGTGCGGCGGGCTATGGTCGCCACCTCGCGCGCCGTCGGAGGCGTCCTCGTCGGAGGTGGAGTTCGGGACGGCCCGCGAGTACGACACCACTGATCCGTTCTTCACTGACAACTGGCTCTACGACAACCACCTGTTCCACAGCAAGCCGGAGAGCGATGGCAGCGAAGGGGAGGACAAGTTCATTGTTGGTTCTGACGTCAGCTTGCAGCGCAGTGAGGTGCGGGAGCTTGGCGATGGCTGCGGTCACAAGCACGTATATGGAGACTGCAATGCGGACTCTTATGGGTGCGCAGAGGTGAATGCTTGTTCGTCGTCACCTTGCGGTTGCTGCTATAATGAGAAGTTGGTGAGAGATTCTTGCTCCGCTGTTTATGGGAGGTATCAGATCATGGACGATATGGAGGTGCTTCATGAATGTGTTGCAGAAGCGTTCCGGTTCAGGCTGAATGTGTTTGATGCAAGCGATCCGTTAGTGGATTTAAAGAAAGGAGAGGATGACGGGTTGGATCTTAGTGCTCTGGAGAAGGAACTTCAAATGCTTACTCCGTACTTGGCTGATGCAGATGCTCTTGAGAGTAAGTTGTTCTGACCTCTTTCCTTTTTCTCAGTTTCATTTCTCGCATTTCTTTTGCTAATTTATATGGAACTAACCTCATGACATTGTACTTGGAATTTGCGCTAACCCTTGGCTACCATTTTGCTTCACACAAATGCCTTTTCTCAGAATATATCCTAAATTTTATTGGCATCAAGTTCAATGTTTGTGATGGTGAATTGAGTTTAGAGTTACTGCTAAAATTCTGCACCTGTGGGTATAACTGCAACAAAGCAAGCTTGAATCCCGTTCAACATGTCAATGATGAAATTAATTTTGCTTCTTAGTCTATATCCATATGCCTTTACCTGGACTTCATCGTTCACACATCTAACGCAAAGGATATTTTTTCCTTGATTAAATGATTTCGTTTTAACTCTAGTTATCTTTTGCAGATACTGGGCTTGAAAATGACTTAATAGGAAATGACGACCTAGATGTTTGTATGGTAACAAATGAGGAAAATGCTGATGGCAAAGAATTTCTAAAAGATAGCTACTGCATACATCCTTTTCCTGAGAGTGCAGTCGCTTTTGATGTTTATGGGGTGGAAGATTTCAAGACTGCAGATACAGATATTCAAAACTCAGCTACTCACAAATTTCAGGAAGACCCAAAAGTCGATCCTGTACTCTCTAAGTTTCAGCAGGAGTATGAGGTATTTGACCTGAAAATTTTCCACCGGAAGAACAGGTTCACCATCAGATACCTTTCTTATTTTCTTCTGCTGCCAAATAATTATAGGGATATTGTGCTCATGCTACAGATGTCCACTGCAGGACTGGCTTTGAGGAAAACAAAGAATTCCCCATTGTCATGGATTCAGTTATAGCTGGAAGATATCGTGTCACTGAGTATCTCGGTTCCGCTGCATTCAGCAAGGTTGTACGGGCACACGACCTTCGCACTGGAGTTGATGTATGCCTTAAAATAATAAAAAATGACAAGGATTTCTTTGACCAGAGTTTGGATGAGATAAAGCTCCTCAAGTTTGTCAATAAATATGATCCAGATGATGACCATCATATACTGCGTCTCTATGATTATTTTTACTATCAGGTGTGTGATGCACATATTCACTTATTCAGTGAACTAGGCCTTGTGCTTTCTTTTACACCATAGAACTCAGTGAACAGTCATATTGCTCTTAAGGAGGTCATTCATTACAAGTCCTAAGGATCCATTAAAAAAAAAGATACAAGTTTCCTGTTCGTGATGTATACTTCAATAATTTACCTGTTTGATATTTGTCCAAGCTCTTTTTGAACTTGCAAAATGCTGACAATGAAACAATTCGGCAGGAGCATCTCTTCATTGTCACTGAATTACTACGTGCAAATCTTTATGAGTTTCAGAAATATAACCAGGAGTCTGGTGATGAGGTGTACTTTTCGTTGCCCAGAATACAGGTATATGAAACTGTTTTGTGATCAAATCACTCGTTACTGCAGTCATATGGCCAGTCAACTCTAATTCAAGTAATCAGAAAAGGCATTTACAGCTGCCCTTGTAATACCCAGCTTCTGTAAAATAATGTTCTTTTTTATATTTGTTGACCATCTATATCTCAATATATTTTAAAAGGTTGGAATAAATACTTTAAGTGTGATTAAATTTTATTAAGTGGAAACAAAGAAGGTTGCTGAAATAAGAGCCTTTTGTCTTGCTTTCAGGCTATAGCTCGACAATGCTTGGAGGCTTCGGTATATTTGCATCATCTAAACATAGTTCATTGTGACCTGAAACCAGAGAATATCCTTCTGAAGAGCTATAGCAGATGTGAAATCAAGGTTATTGATCTTGGAAGCAGCTGCTTCTTGTCAGACAACTTAAACCTATATGTCCAATCACGTTCTTACCGATCTCCTGAGGTCATTCTAGGTTTGCCATATGATCAGAAAATTGACATCTGGTCTCTTGGCTGCATCTTAGCTGAACTGTACACTGGTGAAGTAAGTTTATATCTTGACTTCCTATTCTCTATTTTGTTTGGTATTATATTGAACTCTCAACATGTGAACCAACTGAGCTGATTTAAGGAAAAACAAAAGACAAATAATGTAGTGCTGACAGTTAAATCCGCATGTCTTTTAACCTTATCTTGCAAATATTAGCATTTTCAAGCGAAAACAGGAGGGCTGTAGGGGGAGACCCTAGTGTGGTAAATAACTGTCAACAAAACCTGATTTGCCATTTTGTTGGATTTACTCTGGTAATGGCATTTGAGGTGCTCATTGCGTTGTTTTACCTTGTTTTGTTACTCATTTCATCCAGAGGAGATCAATATATGCAGGAACTCTGTAGGTGCTTGACATGTTGGTTGAACCTTAGGTGCCATTGCATTAAGAAGAAATAGACACCCAAATTCGAGTTGAAGGAGACTCTAACCTTGGTGATGGCTTTATTCCTGTGGTTTCAAAAGCTTATATTACTAAACATCTGAAAATGCTAGCAATTTCAGACTGCATATAATGGGGAATCATTGTCTTGGTATTATTTTTACTGGGGATAATGTGTCTATTGAAACTAACAGTAGTAGTGGCTACCATGTTCTCCTGCTTTCTGAAAGAAGTCATATATGTGATTGCGGCCCCTTTGACATGTCACAGGTGCTCTTTCCTAATGAATCAATACCAATCATTCTTGCTCGTATGATTGGGACAATTGGTCCAATTGATATGGAAATGCTTGCATCAGGACAGGAGACCCAGAAGTACTTCACAGATGACTATGACCTTTTCCACAAGAATGAGGTAATTATTGGATCATATGCAAGATTATCAACATAACTTTGTTTCAGTATGCACTATAGTTAACAACAAATCGGTGATGTTGTTCACGTTGATTTTGCATGATGATCTGAAAACCACATGAGTGGCATGGTAAATGCCACCGGTAGTACGTTCAAAAAATAAATAAATGACACCGGTAGTACAATTACTTTGTAATACTCAATCCGTTCCAAATTATAAGACGTTTTGGCTTTTCTAGATTCATAACTTTTACTACGCACTTAGATATACACTATGTCTACATGCATAGTGAAAGTAATGTATCTAGAAAAGCCAAAACGTCTTATAATTTGGAACGGATGGAGTAGAGGCTTATTTATGCTGAAGCACTTGTTCTAAATTTTCTTATGACATATACAACACACCCTGAGTAGTGCAGAAGTAAAAGCTGATAGCTCAAATACCTGATGTACTAACTACTAAGTAACATTACCAATAGGACCAAGGTACTGTTCGGTAGAAGTCTCAATTCGTTCAAAAAATGTTTCTTCTCAATTGTACACCATCTGCTAATAATCTGGTCTGTAGGTGCAGACTTGATACATAATACTCAATCGAACATGTAGCTATTTACTTCTATCTTGGTCCCTTGTCAATGTGTATTAATATCCACCAGTTAGTTACTTAGTTGTACTCCGTCCCTGGATAGTTGAGGCGCAGAAGACAATCTAGCCCTGCACTTGTCCTTAAAGGCTATAGTTTGTTGTCACCATGGGATCTTTGGCATAAGAATATTATTTTGTTTGTTCTTTGCACAATTATCATGCAGCACCGAGTGCTTATTTTTCCTATTCCATTTCCTGCTAAAAAAATAGGAGACAGATCAGTTGGAGTATTTGATCCCAGAGAAATCCTCGTTGTGGCGCCACTTGCAGTGCCCAGACAAGAAATTTGTTGATTTTCTGTCTTACCTGCTGCAAATAAATCCCAGAAAGAGACCAACGGCCAGCGAAGCATTGCAACACCGATGGCTTTCGTTCAAATACAGTTCAACGGCCAATCAAACTCGTTCCTGACAAGTAGGCCACACTTTCTGAAGCTACTGGCACCTCAAACAACATGTTTCCTTTTGCAGCAGGATCTGGCTTCGTGGGGTTTTTTTGGGTCACACTTGGCATTGAAAACCCTGTTTTGCAAGGTGAATCAATCGTGTATACACGCTAGTTCGTGCATGTAAATATGAGAAAAGTTGCTTCTTCTTTTGTACAGTTGCCATGTACTACGATGTTGATCCAACTCATGGTATAGCAAATGGAATTCATAGATTTACCTTTGACATTTCTTCACGTGAACTCAGCTATCTGGCGCAGACATTGCCGTCTACGGACCCACCTTCGGAGGGCAACGGAGCTATAGGCTTGCTCGGAGTGCTTGCTTGGTTGCAGCAGCAGCAGCCGAAGCGCTGCCACTGAGAGCAATCGCTCCCAAGCAGTCACTGTGGCACCTTCATGTGTGTTTGCCAGTCTGGCAGTCATTGTGGTACCTTCATGAGTGTATATCTGGATGCAGGGCGAGTGGGTATAAAGCGATGTTTGAGGTGCAGACAGTTTTACAAAACAGAAATAAGTGCTATACAACCATAAAACAAGATTCACGTCACAAATAGAGATCTATCATTGCGCTAAATTACAATTCCTTTTTATCCCTTTCCCTCCCTTCAAACATGTGAACAAGGTCTTCGTGACTTCGTGTATCTATGCAACTGTACAAGAGCAGGTTTTGCCTTTCAATAATCCAATGTGGCGGCTGCAATTCCTAAACTGCCTGTTCAATTTGTGGGATTCCTAGTCTTTGGAACCACTCTGGCATGTGAAACGTTTCTTACAATGCAGGCCTAACATCTTTTTGCAGAGCAAGGTGTTCGAGAAGCGGAAATATCGTTCCCATGAGCTAAAATGTCAGAACATGTAAACGGATCAGTAACACTAGGGAATGTAACTGTAGAACCAAAGAACTATTTATGTACGTAGCTAGTTTTACCTGATCGTCAACAGGTTGTCCAGCTGAAAATGTAATACATGGTATTCCATTCAATGGTTGCAGTAAGAAACTGTATGGGTTGTTATCAAGGACAATTCTCTGGAAATCTTTGGACAAACAAGAGAGATCTTTTACATGCTCTCTGTATTCACTGAAATTACAAATATACATTATCAGAAGACTGAACCAGCTCAGCTAATGCGACAAAGGACTTACTTTCTCACTGAATTAAGTATTTTGTCCAATCAACATGATACGAGGTTTCACGGAAACATCAGTAAACCAGATTTGCAGTTCACGTAAAGTGGTTATGAACAAGAAAATAACTACATAAGGTAGCGAAGTCAGCAGCAAATAAAAAAACAAAAAATAATAAAAGATGAACTAAATCTGCCCAATCGGACTGAACAGAGGGATGTCATGCTAATATGCTGTCGATGAATCACTTGAGAGATGAAAATTTCTATTTGAGACTCAGGCCTTGTTTTGTACATCTTCTCTGGGAAGCACTTTCCAAGCAGGTCCGACCTAGCTTCTACTTTTTAGTATAAATATAAAATAAGGGATAATTGTCTGTTGGACATCTAAAGTGATGGTCCTTTGCTGGTGGACATCCACTTTGGAGCATTTTGCCATAAGACACTCTGGTTCGGTGAAATTAGGCCACGGGACACTGCGGACCGGTTGCAGCCGGTTGAGGAGAGAGAACAGCGGTGAAATGACATTCTTGCCCCTACCGCTTTCTTCTTCCTCTATCCCTTTCTCCGGCTGACGCTGCTGCTGCTACGCGTGCGCCGCTGTAGCCCGCTGCCACACGCCGCCGCTGCTGTAGCACCCTCGGTGTTACATTGTAATGTTTTTGCTAAAACACTGCATTAGCATCATGCTTGTTTGTACATGTGTGTAATTTGGAGTATAAATCAATATACGGCACTTGAAACATTCATACAAAACATGAGACAAATGTTACGTTTCATATAATATTGTTTAGTATTCTAATCGAATTGTTGTCGAAATAAAAATGCTATAGAACGTTTGGCTAACGGCGATGAAATAGGTGCGGTCGCGGACAAGGATAGCTGGTTAGTACATCGAGTAGGCCGAATATGGGGTTCGACGCGAAACCGTTCGGAACGACGCCCATTCGCGTAGGCTTGAAAGAAGGTCGACGAAGCTAACTTTGGCCAGTTTTGTAGAATGATCGGCTTAGGAGATAGCGCAATGTCACTGCTTCGATTGATAGCTTGATGTACCCTCTTGCGCATCGAACAAGTAGTTTGGCGTTTGGAGCTTTGCAAACAAGTTTTCTACTTGCTTTAAAAAGCGTGCACGTCACTTGAGTTGGCACTGGGCGCGGTCACCACTGGCCTGGCACGCTGCTGGCTTGCCAGCGCACTGCCACGCCGGCCGCGTCCCACCGTCCCGCCGGTGCACGCGCACGGCTCTGGCGTTGCGCGCCAAGGCCGTCTGTCTTCGATGCCGGCCACGCCCACCGCTGCTGCTCGACCACCACCACTGCCCGGCCTGCCGTCGCTGCTGACTCGCCCTGCACGCCGAGGCGTAGTCCTCGTCCTCATGCCGCCGTGACGGCGACGCGCGCTGACCCTGCGCTATTGCCTTGGCCGTTGGCTGCCTCGCTGGCGCGCGGGTCACCTCGCCGGCTGATGCGCTGCGCCCAGGCCACCGACCAAACTCTGCCAAGCCTTGCCCTGCCTCGCTTTGGCCGTAGGTGCACCGGGTCCCGCGTTCACGTCACAGCGGCCACGCACGGTACTGATCGCTGACTTCCCTTGGCTGCTCGCTCGAAGGATGTCCGCCTGCCCCGCCTTTCCCTCCGCGTCGCATCGCACTGCGTCCTTTGTCTGGCGCTGCCCGCCGCGGTGGCGCCATACCACGCCTCGTCGTCTTGCCACAGTGGCCGTGCGGATAGCCGTCTGGGGCACGTCCCGCCTGTCCCGCTGTCACCCGTAGTGGTGTGTTGGCTCGTTGCGTTGACGCCGCAGACGGACCAAGCCAAACCATGACAGGACGCCCCCCTGCCTCCACTGTCTCCATGGCCGCCAAGACGCTTCTTTCGAATTCGTTGTGGTCGCGGTGTTTTGATTCAAATTGACCACGTGTTCGACTCCGCTAGGCAGCCTGCAGCCCTACCGACCCCTCCTCGCCGTCTGTAGTTCAGTCTTGTGCTCCAATTTTGAATCGCCGCTCGCCGGGTCCATAAGACCATGGTGTCCTGCGCCGTCGGCTAACCAAGCAACCAGGGCAGCTCGGTCCAATTCCTCGCGCTACTAGCCGCTCCTCCAATCGGGTGTCACCGTGCTCACCTCAGCCTAAGCCCTACCGCCGTATAGTAGTCCCTGGCACAGCCGTGCCATTGCCGTGCGCCGCCGCACCACATCGCGCGCACATGGCCGTCCCGGTTCGAGCCCTCTCCGGTCGAGTCGCCGCGTCGAAGGTTCCGTGGTGAGTCGCTGGTACTCATCTGTTACTTGTTTTGCCTCGCCGTGCTGACGTTCACCGGAACGGCGTCGCCGTGTGTGCAGGGTGCCCGCCGTCGTGGTCCGAGCCCGCTGCTACGTCCCGGTGCGCGTTTCCTCCGCCCTTCACTTCGCGTTCGCGTCAAGGTATGATTCGGCTCGTTGGTTTAGGAGGGGGAGGCCTGAGGTGGCCGGCGTGGGTCGCCGGTGCCAGTCCCGCCGCGCCGGTGCGCGCGGGTGACCGCGGGGGTATCATCGGGGGGAAAGACAAGTAGTTCGGAGGGCGTATCTGTAAAACTATAGACTAGCGAAATAGTACCGTAGAGCTTGTAGCAAATACCGAATAGTTCGGGGACATCCATGCACTTTGCCATCACGCGCGGGCCTCTCCCGTCTTGGGCTGGCCATTGGGCAGCAGCAGCGCATGGGTCGCACTCAGTTGTTGGCAGCGCGCGCTAGGGCGGGCCAGCCATGTGAGTTGGGTCAAGTGGAGATTGGAGATTCGGTTTCCTCAATTCCAGTAAATTAGAATTGTTTATTTATTTTGGTTATGAACTGAACTTCGATAATTCGTAGTAAATTGCGTAGTTGTCCAAAAATAGTGAAACCAATTTTGTTAGGTTCGTAAAAATACCATCTATCTGTTAGTGTAGTTAGTTCACAGTTAGCTGTTATGATCATGGGTTCATAAATTCTAATTAGACAACTTAGTATTAGGTAGATTGGTATTTGCAGGAATTCTTGTGGCAAATCAGTAATAGTGTTAGCTTTGAAAATTTTACAGTAGTTTCCCGAGGATGTTACGTGCTCGCTGTAATTTTTAGCATTAGAGGTGTTGTTGAAATAAAGTAGCTATTACCTTTTTTCATTGGAATATAGCGTAAATCGGTGTTAAGAGTAAAAATACCGATAGTTGCTGGAATAACGATGAATGCTTTACTTGCTACTTGTTGTCGATAGCAATAGATGATTTAGCACCGTGGTCGATAGCCCTAGCTTAGTAGTTAATCGATGTACTCCTATTTTAAGAGCTGTTGTTATTATATTATTAAACATTGCATCATCATTTCATGTAGATCACGAACCGGTAGACTTCATGTCCGTCGGCGAGCCGGAGTACGACGAGGTTATCGAGGAATACGAGAGAGATCTTCGCACAGGAGGAAGCCAGAGCCTGTTGGAACTGACCTTGCTGACCCGACACGTGCCCAAGGCAAGCCTCGGTGCATAACCCATATTTTTATGATCATTGAATATATATATGTGATGTGTATTTTAAGTGACAGACATTTTATGGAGACTACATGCATAAATATATCTTTCCATGAGTCCTACTAGTACAGGTCGAGTAGCTGTTATGCTCGGGATATCGGTAGCGTGAGTAACCTGTCGTTACTCGCAAATAGGTAATAAAATATGAACACTCGTGATAAAATGATGGAAAGGTAAATGGTGACCTTGCAGGGATATGATTTGGGTATTGGTGGGTGTAAAGGGGTGTCCTGCGGCCAACAGGGCATAGCTCGGTTACACTTTTTCCCTGTCTGTGTCGATTAAGGACCGGTCATTGCATAAGGCATCGTGGGCAAGTCACAGATTTATTGTCCCGATCGCATACTTGGGTATGGGCACAGGGAAGACTTGTTGCTCTCTTGTCGCGGATCCGGCTCTTTGCGGGCCGACTGATGGGAAGAGGAGGTGGTGGAGGTTCTTGCACCACACTGAGTCCGGGACTCAGGATGTGGGGGCTTGGAGTCCAAGTTTGGACGGGAACCTAGACACCCGGGACAGGAGGGTGATAGGTTAGTCCTGCTTGTGCCTGGGGTACAAGCGAGGCGTGTGTTTTCGGGGCACCCAGCTGGGCATATTGATTCGCGAATCGCCGGGCGATCCGGTACGGCTTGTCTCGTGTTTAGCACCGTAGTAAGAACTGAAAGTTGAAAGAAGAAGAAATG